AGGGACTTCCACTAATAATCACAGGGGTTACCTCTTTGGGTCTTCCCTGTGGAAAATATCATTTCAGACCCCAGAAATAAAGGAACACCAGAGGGTAAACTAAGGAAGGGGAGCCTCAGCCAGAGAACAAGCCAACTCCTCGGGGAGGAGAAGGGCCACGGCCGGGGCAGGGAAGCAGAACTTAGCGCAACGACACAAGGTGGGGACTCACGATCTGCCTCGAGTTACATCTGCCATTTGTCCACAGGCATCTCCCAGAGCGCACAGAAGGTCAGCCACAGGCTGGCCGTGAGCACAGGGGTCCTGCCCTCGTCATGCTGGAGGCCCCGGCTCAGTCCTCGCCTCTCCTCTGTCTTTCTCCCTTCCGTGGTGCTCTTCACCACAGCCCGTGGCTCTGAATAACATCAGTCTCAGGGACATCTCTACTGGTGGGTCGAAGAGACACGTCTTCACTGAGCTCCTGCCTTTCTCACGCGAAACTGCTTCACCTGCTGTCTCTCCCAGTGGATACCAACTCCATCCTCCCACGGCTGAGGCCCCAACCCCCTGGCCATCCCGGACGCCTCTTCCTCCCACACCCACGTCCCGTCTGTCAGGAGATACTGTTCTATTTTCAAACCAGATTGAGAATCTGACCATTTTGTACCACTTCTCATGCTCCTGCTCTGTCGCCAGCTACCCTCGCCTCCCACCTGGGGTACCACGTTTGCCTCCTGAGTGGTGTTTGGGTTTCCACCCCTGACTCCTAGAGACAGCAAGGTGGTCCTGTGGAAATGTGTCAGCGCGTGGGACAGCTCTTCTCAAAGGCACCAGTGTCTCCCCTTCTTGCTCCGTGTACAAGCCAGAACCTGGGCCCCTGTCGCCCCCTCCCCCCCACCCGCTCCGTGTGTGCCACCACCGCGCGGCTGCTCCTGGCCCGAAGCTCCTCTCACAGAGACTGGCACCATGACTCCTCACTGCCTTCACATCTGTACTTTGTGCACATGTCCCCTCCTCAGGAGAGCCCGTCTTACTGACACTGTGCCTGCCTTCACTGTCCCCAGCACCTCTGATCCCCCTAACGTGGCATAATTTTTTCCAAAGCACTGATCATCATTTAGCACACTGTATATTCCTATTTCCGAGATGTATGGCTCGTCATCTGATTCTTCCCCCTACCCTGGAACGCCAGCTCATAAGGAAAGGGCTTTCGTTTTGCTCACCGATGTATCCTAGGTGCCTGAAATAGAGCCTGACACACACAGAGAGTGAGAGCATAAACACAGTGGAATGAAGAAGCGATGGCCGGGGATGGGTGGAGAACCCGTTTCCTGAGGGGGGCGGACACCACGGCCTACGTAGTGAAGGCGAGGAGGAAAGAGAAGGCATTTGCGGGGACAAGAGTATACATGCAGGGAGAGTTTGAGGACAGTTGGAATGAATACAGGATTTGGTGAGGGAAACGAGAGTTGATTTCTGTAGTTTTAAAAGAGCCAAAGATGCTGAGTGACAGGTGAAAAGCCCTCATGGATTCCTCCGAGGCTTAGAAGTGTGGATTCCTGCCAAATAGAACATATGTCTGGGAACGGATATCTTGTGATGACAGTATGACTAGAACGTTCTGGGAAGGCCTAGAGCAGCACCCTGGGAAACCATCCTGGCGCTGTGAACTTCCTCATGCCAGGGAGTGTCCAGAACCAGAAGCTGCCAGTGACCTGAAGGCAGAGCCACGTGGGGGAGGGACCTACCTCTGAGACTAGGCATCACTGCTGCTTAGTTTGTCATCCACCATACTGGCTGCTACCTGAGTGCAGGGTCGTGCAGTACTATGCTTGTGGAGCGGGCCTCTCGAGGCTTGGGCTGTATACAGTGATCAATACTCGGTGCTTACTTTCATCTGGCTGAACCTGTCGACCATATTCCAGAGTCTAACCATATCCAGGAAATTAAGGGCCTTCACAGGGTCTGTGGGTAGTAAGTTATACTGAGATATAACTGGTTGGAGACGAGGCTCTCCCAGCTCTTCCAGTAGGGGTTTTGGAAAACACGTCGTTTGCTTGGGTGCCACAGTCTCTCCCACTCAGTAGTGCTTTACAGTTACACAGAGTTTTAAAATAGACGCTCTTATTTCAGCCTCAAAACACACTGCAGGAAATATCATCACATTCCTTTGACAGATGAGGAAACGAAGTCTTCGGACATTTTGCTAAGTTCTCCGGGAAGAAGTTCTGCGTCCTCTCCCACACTGCCTCCTGGACTTGGGTGATATTATGGTTATTCTCTTTGTTCAGAAGCCATTCATTGTGCACTGGGTCTCTGGACACCTCCTCTTGCTGTCCAGCACACACACTGTCCCTATTTAATCCCCAGACAACCCTTCAGTATGACTTTTAACAAATTCCTCAGTCTGGAGGAGTGAAGAGAATCTCAGCGTGGGATGGAGGGAGGCTGGAGGAGTTAGAGGTGTATCAGAACTCTAGGGTGGTCTGATATATAATTTTTTGTTTTGAAAATGGGAAAAGAACCTGTGTGGTTATCGAAAATATAAATTACAGAACGTAAGGGCTGAACAAATCCTGGCTAGGGGGAATACACTTGAGGGGGTTATGTGAAATGTATGTGTTTGGTAAAGGCATCTTGGACTGAAGAGACAGGAACTCTGGCCCAGGGCAAAGTGAATGGGCCATACCAGGAGGCCTGGGTTCCAGCTGTGTGGCTCCGAAAGACATTTAAATCTCTCCATCAGCATCTTTAGGGTCAGCAAATTGGGGATGATAATTCTTGCTTGTCAAATTCACAGGGCAGTTAAAAGTTGCCTGAGATAAATTTATGCACAGGTGAATTGTAAATAGAAAACCATTATACAAACATAAGGGTCTGCAGGATGATTTCATGCGCCTTTCTTGCCCTGCACACTCCCTCTCTATCCCCCACATAGCCACTCTTTTGGTAGAAATTTTAGACCCTGGCAACTTTTTTCTTTTTGCTTGCTTTTCATTTAAAAACACCAATAGTTTGGGAGAAAATGGCAGGTTGAGTGGAATAGGCCTTGCCAACGGTGAGAACCACAAAGGACCCCCTCACAAGCTCGGGACTGCATCTAGGGGAGCAGCTTGCTGTCACCTTCCTGCATCTTCCTGCCCCTGGGCTCCCAGGCCCTGGGCGCAGATTCGTATGGACCTGTGCCCTCCCTCTCTTCCCTGTCTCCCTCCCTGCATGCTCCCTCAGTTGAGAGCAGTTCGAGCTCCAAGCACAAAGGTGCCTGCCTTTAGAAATGCGGGGGTGACTCCTGGCCCTGAATAGCACCTGACATTGTACAGTGTAGGGTTCCCGGCCTGAAAAGCCCGGAGTGTGCTCAGGGGGGGGGGGGGGGGGGGGGGGGGGGGGGGGCTCGGGGGGGGGAGGTGCAGAGCCTGAGTAGGAAGATGGACTTTTTTTTTTAATGATCTGATGTTTTCCTGGGAGAAGTCAAGGGACAATGTGTATACACACACACACACACACACACGTGCACACACACACACACAGCATGAGACAAAGACAACCCAGGGGGATCTCAGAGACAGAGGGCCATCAAATCTGTAGCTATAGGGTGAGCAGGGAGGGTGCGAGAGGCCGATGGGAGCGGGGAGGGAGGGAAGCGCAACAGGCTCCGTCCAACATCCATGTGCTGGAAGGGGGGCAGACGGGCTTCTAGTCAGGAGAATCAGGCAGATAGGATAACATGTCAGTTGGACTGATTGGGGGCAAAATACGGAGCGGGCAGGGGGAGGGTAAGGATGCAGTAGGGGATGGTGGCAGTTGGTAGGGTAGTTTCAAACATCTTAGATCAAAACTCTACAGCGTCAGCTCCGTGCTGTTATTCAATGGTTCAGTGCATCAAAGGTTTGTGCAAACATTACCAAGTCTCTTAATTAAGGAAAAATAATAACAACAAAAAAATTAAACAACACATGTTAAAGACTAACCGCCAGAGGGCTTGCCTATAGATAAAGAGAGAAGGTTTCAACATGCCAGGTAACAAAAAGACATGTGCAGGGACTGGAAGGAACTGTATAGGAGGAGACAGCTCGGGAGAAGATAGTAGGAGGCCCGGGGCCAGCGGGCTGGGGTTCCGTCTGAGGCCAGGGAGCCGGGGGCAGGGTAGTGAGGGGCTTGGGGGGTGGGAGAGAACCGGGCAGGTGCCAGAGTCAGTTCTCTGGGCAGCTTCACGTGGGAGTGAGGTGCTCATCCAGAGGCTGCTTCCACAGCGAGAGGGAGGCAAGGTCCCCGCCCCCCGGGAAGAGCTCTGGGCGGACCACCCAGCCACCTGGCTGTTTGGCCACTCCAGAGACGCGGGATCCCGACAGGAGTTCCGACACGGCCGGTTCTCCTCTTTTCTCCCACATGAGCCTGGGGGGCTGCGCTGCCTGCACGGGCAGCCGATGCTAAAATGGCAACAGAGCCCCTCCTTACAGTGTGAATGGAATGGGCTGGTCCTTGGGCCCAGGATGCTGGCAAAGTCCAAGCCTTAACTTCGGGGGCGCAACTGGAGAGAGCTCCTTTCCAAGGTGCCATGGGCGTGAAGGGAAGGACAGCATAAGGCAGCAGTCTGGAGGTGAAGCTAAGGGGTGAGGAGAGGGTTGGGTCCCTGCCCCAGCTGTGGCCCAGAGGTTGTAAATATGCCCTCGTTCTGGCACTCTCTGGCTCCCATAGCTGCATCCTCCTATACAGTGTGAGTCATGCCAGGCGGAGTGGAACGGGAGAGAGAAAAGATGCAGCAATCAGAACTTAAAAGGAAAGGGGAGGCCTAACTCGTTCCAAAAGTTAAAAACAAAACAAAAACAAACAGAAAAATTCAAAATAAAGCAACAAGGAAAAAAAATCCTTTAAACCAATTTAAACAAACAAATAAAATAAACAAAATGAAAATAAGGAGGTGGGGAGGAGAAAATAAAATGAAGAAAAAAAATGAGCCGGGGAAAAGACAAATGAGTGTTAGAGCAGGCACGGACAGTTAGGAACAGACGCCATGTACTTACGTTTACCTCGGTGATTGCTATATCAACAATGCTACCCACAACAATCAAGGCGTCAAATGTATTCCATGCATCACAGAAATAGTGCTGCATGGGGCAGAGAAGCCGAGGAAAAGAGAGAGAGAGAGAGAGAGAGAAGAGAGAGAGAGAGAGAAAAAAAAAAAAAAACAAAAAAGAAGAAAAAAAAAACAAAAAGGAAGAGGAAAAAATGAAAAAAAAAAAGCATGAAAGAAAGGAGAGAAGAGAAAAAAATGAGAAAAGAAAGAGGTTACGTGGGCATATTAAATACTCTCTTACCACTCTACAGTTCTGGCGGCTCAAACCTGGGCAACCTGGTTCTCACGGGGCGGAGAGGCCTGACAAAAGCTGGGTTAGTACCAAGGTTCCGCTGGGCCGGGGCCGCCGGGGAGGGGGCCGGGCAGCCCCCAGCGCCTGCCCCTCCGCTCAGCTCCGGGCCCCTGGGCCTAGCGCAGCGGGGCAGAGCTGGGCCAAGCAGAAAAAAAGGAGGAGAAGCTCCCACTTTTTTTCCCCCACAGACGACGGCAGGTTCAATAAAAAGCATGACTGGAGGGGGGTAAAAACAGGAAATTAAAAAACCAAACAAATAAAAGGAGGTAAAGAGAGAGCGAGTGAGAGAAGGGAAAGAGAGGAGGCAGAGGAGGAAGGAGGAGGCTTCCTGGGGAGGGCAGAGTCATACTCACATTAGTCTCACTGAGAATGACGTCAATTATGCTGCCAATTACGATGAGGAAGTCAAAAACATTCCAGGGATCACTAAAGTAACCCTACATAAGGGAGGGGCAGGCAGGATGGGGATTAAAAAGGAATATTAGACAGACAAGAACAGAGCAACATCACCATCAGAATCACCGTCCAGGCACCTCAGTGTTGCTGCTGGAGTTGTGAACGCCCGTACTGTGGCCAGGAGCCCAAGAGGGAAGCGGGTGGCCGGGAGGCGGCTGGTCCAACCCTCCTGCCCTGCCCTCCCCTGGTCACATGGCCCCCCCTTCCTCCAGATCCATCCCACCTCACCACCCTCCTGCACAAAGGCTCTTTCTGCTTCCCACCCGGGTGGGGGAGCAGGCGTGGACATGGGGGGCAGGCAGTGCGAGTCACAGTGGTTCAGGGGCATGGTTGGACTTTCTTCTCAGTCCCCACTCAGCATCTCCTATGCCCCCAGGTCTCCTCCATCAGAGGAACCCTTCTGGAGGCAGGGAGGGACACAGCGGGTGACCCCCTCGAGGTGAGTGGGCTGTGGTCCTATGGATGATCTGGGAATTCCAAAGACCCTGAAAACCACAGCAGTGTGGTCCAGAAGGGTGGCCGGGTCATCGGGGCTCAGCGGTGACTCATCTAAAGCTTGGCAATAGCAAGAGGACTGAATCATTAAAACAATACCTATAATATGCTGGACTCTTTGCAGTTAGAATCAGGGTCACCCCTGTTCCAGCACTGGACATGCCCTGGTATTTCCAGGGACAGCTCTGACCTGGCAAAGGTTTTATGAACTGAAAGGAGATGGAGTCCAGGTAAATCTTACAGTTCAGTAGTGCCCCAGGCAGTGCTTTCGGGGGCATCTCTTACGCACCTCCCCTAGGTTCCTTTCCTAACGTCTACTAGTTTGATGTAGAGTCCCTGTTGACATGCAAATACCACCCAAAGTGAATGAAATTATCAAAGCCCGAGAACTGGATTGATAGGGGGAGTCTGGGTAGAGAGTATGGGGACATAGACTTCGCAGGAAGGTAGTGGAGGCAGTCGTGCCATGGAAGAGAGATTATGGCACCGAGGGGGTAAGACCAGCATCCCGACTTCACCACTTCACCCTGTACACTTAGATTTCACTCGTGTTCTGCCATATTTGGAGAAGGGAAGAGATGCTTTTGAAAGACTTCTTTTGAGGTCTTGGACAACTAGTCAACCAAGGGATAGGCTGTCCCAGATTTCCTAGAGGATTCCAGGATTCCTGGGAGGGCGGACCCTTCACAGAGTGGACAGGTGTCTTGGGTCTGGATCACCTGCCTCTCTGAGCGGTGTGGGAGTCTAGAGAGCACTGCCCTGTGGCCACATGGAGGTATAGGCTCACCGTTTGGGTAACCCCAGGAACAGAACACCTTTCCATCCCCAGGAATGGAAAGGAAAGGACCTAGTCCTAAAGGTACTTGTCTTCTTAAAAAAAGGACATTTGCTTCTTCACTTTTTCAGGGAATGTTCTGCAAAGGAGACCAGACAGGTCTGGGCTACATTTGTTCGGTAGGACCAGCATTTTCCTATTCTCTGAGCCACTAGCTGGGTCTTCCAGGAGATGGGATTCTAGAGGTTGGGGAGTGGGTATGAAAGCATTAAGGGTCCTCTGAGACTTTCCCAGACCTCTTTCCCCAGTTCTCTTGAAGGCTGCCAACTTTCCCTTTTAATTTTTTACTCACAAGAGCCAAGAGTCTGTGTTCTTCCATTTCCTCCTGACTCTATCCAGCTCCCTGAACTTCCCCACTTCCCAGCCATGCCCTCTTTCCAGAGGGATCGCAAGACATGCTGTCCTAGGGCTGTTATTCTTAGTGTGGGAGGTCAGGTCACAGGGAAAGGGGCCTCTCGGTTCCCAGGCATTTCTGCCAAAAGAAAACAGAAATGCCACGGCGGAGACTTTGGACAGCCAGACTGGAGAAGCAGAGGTTGGCCAGGGTGTGGGTCAGGTGAGGGTCAGATGGAAATCATGGCTTTCTTGTTGGCTTCCCAGAATCATTTCTGAATATACTAGAGCCTTGGAGGCAGAGGGAGACTGTTCTCTCCCATTTAAGTCACATGTTATGAGCAGGAAATAACCAATTCCTTCCCAGGTTCTTAGATGTTATTCACAGGGCAAAGGGAGAAGACTGAGTTCTAAAGAAGGGAGGTAAAGAGAGAAGACCCCAAATGAACTGTAAATATGCATGTGTTTTAAAATTTGAGTTTGGAAAACACTGGGGGAGTCTCTCTCGACGGGAGTACCATCTTTGTGGGGAGAGCTAGTTCAGAAGGGAAGGGGAGGCAGGGTCAAGGAAGAGAAGGGAGAGAAACAGGCACCAGAGCAGAGTCCAGGGAGGTTCAGCATCTAGCCTAGAAAATGTGGTAATGAAACATTACTTGGGCGTGGGGGTAAGAGGAGAGAGAGGGAGGGGGAAGGCTCAGCGCTCAGGAAAGGAAGTTGAGTTGGAGTCTTCTCATTCGCCAGAGACCTGAAACAAAATGGGTAAGCCGGCCTGGTCTGCAACGCCTCTGAGAGAGGAGAAAAAGGGACGGAAGGCGGAGAGTAGGGCAAAGGCCAGGATAAACACACAGGTTAGTTAGCTGCTGAGCACCAGGGGGAGGCGGACACCGAAAGGGACCCTGCCAACCTCCCGGTTGGGCATCGCTCATCACCCTTTCTCTGGGACTTCTTTGTGTACGTGCAGATGGAGGGAAAACATACACCAGTCCACTCCTCCTTGACCATGGCCCTCTCCCAACCTTCCATGGCAGGCTCCCACTGGTTGGGCTCTCTCAAGATGAATGCCTCATGCCTCGCCCTTGCCCTCACCAGGCTGTGCTGCTGAGGCTTTTGATCAAGACAAGCGACCTGGGAGACCCAGTGCCAGGGCCTCCATTGGCTGCAGAGACGCAACCAGTTGCCTTATTAGACTCTGCTCGAGGAGATTTACACAGAGCTAGAATGCAGGGGTGAGGGAGCATGCCAAAGGGGGAGGTGACAGGATCCCTTTTAGAGGCAGATTTTTACTCCGACCCGTCCGCCCACCTTCTCTGTCCCACAAGCCCAACAATTCTCTAAGCTGGACCACGAAGACGGTTTCAGATCCAGCTTTCAGCTGTTTCCTCCATCCACCTCCTCCTCCCACTCTCAACGGTCCTTCCTCCCACCTCATCCACACCCATCCCCAGAAACAAGGTGCTCTCCATTTAGACACCTGGCCAAATCCTTAAGTGGGCAGGGCCTGGAGGAATATTTTTTCCCCTTACTTTCCTCTGGAGTGTTAAGAGCTTAGTGCTCTCTCTCTCTCTCTCTCTCTCTCTCACATACACACACACACACAAACCTGTTTTTGCCTACCTCCTCATTTGCTGGAAACCACAGGTAATACAGATTTGGGGGGTGTAATGGAAGAAGGAGGGTGGGAAAAAAATCATAGGCTTTTTCTCTTAGATCAGTTTGACCTAGAGCCAGGTTATACCTGTGACTCCTTCTTTCCCTGGTGATGAGGTCCCAAATGGTAGGGTAGAAGTCAAGGTTAGGGAAAGGGCTTTCCTTGCCCTCCCTGAAATGGTTAACCAAACCTCTTAATGTCCAACTCCCCAGAGTCAAGCAGGGCTGATCACCCAGAAGGTATGGTGTTTTGGGGATGAGAAGGCTTTCCCTTGACATCCTTAAATCCTGCAGATTTAGTGGGTTTTCCCCTTTCAAATTCCCAGCCTCTGGGGATGAGTTTAGAAGATGGGCCTCTTCTCTGGCCTTCCTGGGAATGCTCGTGTGTGCATCCACTCAGGCTGATGAGCGGCCACCCCTGTGATCTGCAGTTGCTTAGACCCTCAGTATGACCCATTCTCCTGAGTGCTGCTGACCCTCCACTCGCTGGCTGAGGTGGGTTGAGAACATGCAGACAAAACTGATATTAACTTTAGCAAATCATTATTAGAAAGGACACACTGTCACAAAACACCATGTTAGGCATTTTGAATGCCCAAGAATGGTGGATTTTCCTCTCTTTCAGATTCTCTGTGCCCTGATTCACCTCCATCCTTGAAGCTATTCCAAGTTGAAAGAGGTGGTATCAAGAGTACGGTCTCTGGAGGTAGGTTGTCAGTTCAAATTCTACTTCTGGTGCTAATAAGCTGGGTACTCTTGAGCAAATAACTTCCACCTCTTTGTGCCTCAGTTTCCCAACCTGTAAAATGGGAAAACTATAGGGTTACAATGGGGATTACAATACAATGAGACAATACATGTAAAGCACTTGGACTTGCGCCTGGCCTGAAGTAAGCTCTAAATACGTCTGGATGACTGTCAGTGTTAACTCGAGCTGATCTACCTCTCTCCTAGGTAAGCAGGATTCACTGGATTCATAACTCGAGCTGATCTACCTCTCTCCTAGTTAAGCTCACAGGATTCATAACTCGAGCTGATCTACCTCTCTCCTAGTTAAGCAGGATTCACAGGATTCATAACTCGAGCTGATCTACCTCTCTCCTAGTTAAGCAGGATTCACAGGATTCATAACTCGAGCTGATCTACCTCTCTCCTAGTTAAGCAGGATTCACTGGATTCATAACTCGAGCTGATCTACCTCTCTCCTAGTTAAGCAGGATTCACAGGGTCCACTTTGGGGGTGGCACTGAGTAGAAGGGCAGGCAAAGCCCAGGTGTGTGGAGGAAGGAGGGAAGAAGGTTCTGGAATCCTGAGCTTACCTTTCACCAGCATCTAGAGCCTTTTCTGCCCATCTTGAGGCACTAGTGAGTAGTGTGCCTGTCCGGAGACTCTTGAATGAAATCTGGCTGGTACCATTTTGAGACTGATGACAGTTTGCAAGTTGTCATGACTAAATTTTGTCAGATACAGGGTCATGTGCACAGTTAACTGCCAGGTTCTGAGAAACCACCATTTTCACTGGGGGAGACCGAGGCCCCCCTCCGAGGGCTGGGAGGACACAAGTGGGCTGCCAAGTGGGCCTGTTTCCCACCTCTGATTCCGGGGAGCAGGGCTGCTGCCGAGAGGTTAGAGGCACATGCCTTTGCCCTTGAATTCTGGATTCTCAGCTCC